TAAACCCTAAACCCTTAAACCCTACGGCCAGACCAAAATTACAGGAAAGCTTGGGAAGTCTTTGGTTCGTCTCAGGGTCTGAGTCTTCTCAGGGTTTCAGGGTTGTTGGGGTTTAGGGGTTTAGGGTTTAGGGTTTGTTGGGGTTTAGGGGTTTGGAGTTTCGAGTTAGGCTTGTTTAGGCGGTTTAGGGTTTGTTGGGGGCTTTGGCAGCGCAGCAAAGGCTTATGTCTCAACTGTGCTGGCCGACTGCCTACCGGAGGCAATCCCACCAAACGAACGAAAAGACCTGCAGAGCAATGCAGGCACTTTTCCGCTCGGCATCATGATCAGCAGACAATGGGACTGGCCCACCCATGCCTTGGAAATTCTTGCCACAGAGATGCTCGGCTACAACGTATGGGTGAACGACGATGTGAGTGGCTTCCAAACGTTTTCCGCGAGTGAGCCCTTCTACGAAGTCGCTGGATGCGAGCGAAATTTGACGGAATGGCAATGCGAGGGGCAAGTCTCCAGAACGCATGTCGCATTGAAAGCCTACTTGCCGTCTAATGAAGAAGTACCTAGGTGACACTTGGTGACGCTTTTTGGTTTCCCGCATGGCTTGAAGGTACCTGTTCATAGATGCTTGTTTTCGATACACGTAGCCGACAGCCCAGGTACTGGCGAGGCTACAGAGACTGAGGGTTGGTGGTATTATGGATGTACAGGACGAAGCCACAAATCCCAACTATGAAGGCTTGAGCATCTCGCGGAGATTGGCAGATAAGGTTCTTCAGGAGTCGGGTTTGCCCTTAGAGTACTTTCGTTCTTATCATGCCCGCAACAAAGCGGCAATTCTGCCTTACTTTGACAAGATTCAAGATGTCAATGATTCAGATCTGGCACCGTGTGCCACCTGGAGCCTTTGGCCCGTGTTTACGAACAGAATGGAAGCATATCTGCAGATCACTGGAGACGCAGATGGCGTTACAGTGGAGGCTGAGGGTGGGACCCAAAGCATCAAGCCGCGATGCCACGAAAGCCGGTGGTGGTTGGCTCCCACATGCCGTGAGAATTCAACAGAGCCCTGTCGGTAGCATGGATGTAGGCGTGTAGGAGCATTATGGTTGCGAGACTGGCTACATGCTACAGTCCTGTCGCGAGGTCTCAGGCCGAGTTTCGCCTCACATGTTGTAGTTGATGTCGTTCTTGATAGCTGCGGAGCCACTTGCCTTCTCAGAGACCGAAGGAATGCATTCCGTGCTTGCTCTATGACTACTTTGGCTTTCCCTGGAACATTGAAGAAGTCATGCAGAAAGCCACAGTCTGGGAAATGCCCTTGGCAATCGGGGCAGCATTGGCTGACTTCACTTCTTTCACTGGTTCCTACTTCCGTCTTCCGTTGACGCATGATGTGGTGTTTGTGAAGTCATATCCAAACCTGGAAAACATGCCCCCAGTGGCCGCAATGCAAATCTTATTTCCACGCCACAGTGTCTTCGCCGCGTTCGGGGGATAGTTAGCTGCCTTTGTTGAATGCTCTTCGTTTTGGTCGGTTTGAGTTACTGTTGTTATCCTTGCTGTTGGCGGCCCAGCCGAACTAAAGTCATTAAAGGTGCCAGAGAATGGCAGAGGGGACTAGCATCCAGCATGGCCGCCACCTGGTCACACTCAATGCTATCACACAAGGTTCCTTAGCTGGATTAGCACCAGTTTGCCGTTGAAGGGCTTGATACTTCTACAAGACAACAGCCTTCAAATGTTCTTCAAACGCTTCCAGAGGTGTATCTTCACAGACATGGGTAGTTCTCTGTATTAGGATCCTTGGTAGGTCCCCAATTTGCAAAATCATACGGCAGCTTTTGCTAAAAGAAGGCCCTGAAAGGGGTTCGAAAAATTGAACCACCCATATGGCCACATGAAAATCCAGGATCTTGGGGAATGGGCACCAGATGTTCAAGAGCTTCTTCGGCGGATGAGGTTTTATGGAGAGGACCGTGTTCGCAACCCTCAGTCTTCCTGAGGTCGAGACGCAGACTGCCACCTAAACCCTACCTGTAGTCTCTATAGTCGATTGTAGTTCCTTTTTCGGGGTTACCTTATAGGATCCTAAATATAGAGTTAGCTAAGCCAGAAACAGGAACAATGGAGCTTATAGGTAAACCCTATAGACCCCACCAAACCCAGACTGCCCAATAGACCTCGCACAGAGGACTATGAGTACGTAAACATCGGGATGTCCAGCCGAGTGGAGCAGGGCCAAGCTACGTGGCCGGGCTTGGCTTGCGAAGCCAGGCAGCAATGGCAGGATTTGGGGAGTTTACGTGTCTTCTTCAAAGCCGTCGTTGTGGCAAGCATCCTTTGTACCGTGTACAGGCTCTGCACGGTGGGTACTATACAGCTATTATAGGGCCATTATAGCATAATCCAATCTAACTATGTTCGCATACCTCCGCGGGGTCTTCAACCTGTATAGGGTGTAGGGAGTGTAAAGTGTAGGGGTGTGGGCCTGCGAGGGTGAACAGCCTTCTCGAAAGGCTTAGATAGCCAATGGGGGAACTGTAAGCCTTTAGCCTTGTATATTTGGACTTTCGAAACCCTAAACCCTAAACCCTAAACTGAATTTTTTAGGCCCCGTCATAGAAGAAGAGACCCAAAACTTGAAGCCATAAACCCCAAGAGAAGGAGTGGCTCCAGAACAACACAGACGTGTGGAAAGCCTGGGTGCCAGATGTTACGAGCTGCTTCCCTGGCCACGGCTACTAGGTGCTTTGGGACACTTGTTGATTTAGGGTTTAGGGTTTAGGGTTTAGGCGATAAGGTTTAGAGGTATAGAGTTTAGAGTTTTGGATTTAGGGGTTCAGGATTTAGAGGTTTAGGGGTAGCGGTTTCTAGGAGCACTACAAGCGCAACCTAGGCTTGTTTGGCAACGGGACTTTCGTCAGTTCCCGCGACAATGCCACTACATGTCGACCCTGTCCACCGGGAAGTTATTCAGCTCCGTTCTACGACTATGCGGACACTGCCCAATGCCAGTCCTGTTCACAAGGACACCCTAAACCCTAAACCGTCAGTCGTGTTCACAAGGACACTCTAAACCCTAAACCCAAAACCCTAAACCGTCAGCCGTGTTCACAAGGATATTGGCAAAGCTCATATGGGGCCGTGACATGCAGCCCTTGCTCAACAGGTGGGGAGATTTCCTCACATTTCGGACACCTTCCCTCAGGGTTTGGGGTTTAGGATCCAGGTCTCATGTGATTCGTGGAGATGTCAGTGTTTCGGGTTGAATTTCGGGGCCCTCCTCTGGGTTCTTGGTGAGGAACTTGGTTACTAGTTTAAGTTGCCAGCATAAGGAAATCGTAGTATCTACTGCAGACCCCGGTTACGGTAACTTAAACTAAGCTCCTCAAGACGAACCCAGTTATTGTCTGCGAAGCTCCCAGGTAAGTTTGCCAATGACACTGGCTCGACATTGTGCAATGATTGCGCTCAGGGCCAGTACCAGCCGGCAACCTCATCTAGTTCCTGCGAGGTATGCGACATCTTGCAAACAACAAGCATCCGTGGTGCCACCGAGCAGCTTAGCTGAGCAAGTAACTTTTTGGGGTGGTAAAAATCCTCTGTAGAATCCCGATAAGGTTAACCCTTAGTTCCCCCAGGAAATTGGAGAAACCCTAACCCCGAAACCCTAAACACTACAAGGCGGAGCGAATGCATCTGCAAAGCTGGTTCCTTTCCGGGAGCCTCGGGATGTGAACTTTGTTCCACGGGGCTCCGGTGCCAGGGAGGCGACATCCCGCTTCGTCACTTGGCCATAGGGTCATGTATCTTTGCAGTAGCAATTCTAGCCTTCAAGTACCTGTGTAAGTATATACTATATAGGTACGTAGTCCTACTTAGCTGTCCACGACGAAACCTTCTTAGTGAACATGTTGTCATGCCCGAAACTCTAAACCCTTAGCCCCCCAAACTGTAAACATACAGACTTCTTCGGGGTGAGGCTGGTCCCTGTACTGTAAGAGTTGCTTGATCTTTCGGGTTGAGGGTTCTGATTTTGTGACAACCGCCTGGTCTTGTCCGGATGTGGAAACTGGTCAAACGTCCGCGTGCATTTTGGAGCAGTACCACGATTACAAAGCCAATGTGACGGTCGCTTCTCACATACAATTATCATAAAGCTGCGGTCTTACATACAGACATTCTGCAACTATATATTAACCGTCCTCTACGCTTGTGATTTAGCAGTGTTTGTTTGTAGAACATCTCCGTGCACTGACATCCTTCCAGGCGCACCAACGAAGCTTGCTTCCTTAGCTGGGCATCACAAGTTATGTGAGGTTCTGCATTTCCTGCCCTGCATGGTACTTGGAGGTTCATGTCCCCTACCTAATGTAGGTTATAGCTATAGTTACCCTACTTACCCATGAACCTCCAAGTAGGCCTCTCTTGTAAATTTCAGCTTGCTACAACATGCCCCGGCTGTCCAGGAAGCTCCCGAGGCCGAACACTAGGCCCTAACCTTTGCAGCGTTGAGGGTGCACAGGGTTAAGATGTTGGGTCAAGGGTTTACAGTCTGGGGTTTAGGGCTCTACGCGGTCTTTGGTTTCGGGGTTTGGTATAGACTTCAGCAGTTTGGTGGTTTAGGGTTGAGTTAGTTTAGTTTGCCGCAGCCTCCATTCGGCGAGACACCCCCGTTGCCGAGACTTCTACCGCACCCTGCCTCCCCAAATGCCTGATGCAGCAGCCCAGTCACCCACCTTTTTGACATGACACTCGGGTAGTTCTCTAAATTAGGGTCCCCTTTTTTAAGTCGCTATATATATATATGTATATATATATATATATAAATAAATATAAGGGTGCCGTACTCTATTGGGGACCTAAAACGGGCCCTAATTTCGAGAACTGCCCATTTCTTCTGTTTATTGTCCTATCATAAGAAACGAAGGTCCGAAAACGGCACTGCATTTTCGGGACCTCGGTCCCCAAACCCTAAACCGTACTTGGAGGTTCATGGGTAGTTATAAGTAGGGCTATACGTAGGGTAGCTATAATTATAACCTATATTAGGGGACTTATAACTCCACTTATAACTACCCATGAACGTCCAGGTACCACCCTAAAACCGTATACAGCACAGAGGGCCTCTGGGCCCTTAGCTGCCACTTTCGGTCTTTAGAGGAATACGGGCTTCTCGCTTCAGGTTTGCCTGAACCCTATAAAGCCTTCCCCAGGGTTGAGGTTTCAGGGTTGGGGTTTGTTGTTCTGATTTCTTCATGTAAGTCCTTAAACAGGTTGGTTCTTTGGGCTCCAGGTAAGGGTTCAAGGTTAAACGAGTTACTCGCGACCCTGAACCCCACACCCTAAACCCCAAAGACGATTTTCTGGCTCGCAGATGTTTTCGTTTGTTCTGTCACATGGGTAGTTCTCCAAAGTAGGGTTCCTTTTTGGGTCCCCAAGATTAGTACGGCACCTTCCGAAAAAGGACCCTAAAAGGAGGCCCTAGCTAAGAGAACTACCCACGTGTGTTCGAAGTTGCGATGCATTTTGTTTCCAGGTTCCAGAGACAAGGCCTAAGCCCGAAACCTCGAAATTGATACCCTATAGTACTAACCCCTGTACCCTAAACTACCCTAAACGTTCCCTAAACCCTAAATTGACAAGCAAGGTCAAGAAGAGGGCTTCTGGGTGGAGGTCGGCGCCGAGGGCAGTCTCTCCGTTTACCGATGCCAGGATTACAGACACTGTCCAGAAGGCGCTCAGTTGGTTTATTTAGGGTATAGGGTTTAGGCTTCTGGGTTTAGGGTGTAGGCTTCGGGGCCTTTTAGGGTTTGGGGTATAGGGCTTGGGCTATAGAGTTTAGGGTTCATCACCTTCCAAAATCCTTTAATTCAAGGAATATACCTTACGTCATGTTGGGGATCCTACCGTATGTTCCTTAGTTAAGAGATGCTGGAAGGCGCGCAGTCTTTGTTTCTTGCCACATGCCCTCAAAGCTCCCGGGTTTGGGGTGTACCTAAACCATAAAAGAATCTACTTTTTTAGGCTTCTTTCTTATGACTTTCTGATGCAAGTCCTTATGACGCTAGGGTCTTGGGGTCTATCAGGGTTCCGTGTCCCTAAACTTAAACCCTAGACCCGAAGCCGTTTTAAGCCCCGCAGTCTTCTCCAGAGAGGCACTCCTGGAAGCTGCGCGAGCCAACGTGTCGGTCGAGCTTGTGCTGTTTGCCGCCTCGGGTACTGGGCAGGCCGGATGGCGAAAACTCGGACACGCCGTTTTAGAATTCAGCGGGGGCCCCACATAACAATAGTGGCGATGATAAGTAACAGTGGAGTTTGTTAATCAGTACGTAGTGTTATGCTTGAAGAACAAGTAGGATTGGTATTCCTTTGACTCGCGAGAATCGAAAGCCTGATCTTTTTAGGCCCCTATGTTAATGACTTGAAGCAGAGTTTTCAGCATTTGTTTCATAAAGACCGTTAGGGGGGGGGGGAAGGGAGGGGGAGGGCTGGGGGCACTGAATAAAGAACTAGTACGGCGTATACGGGCTTATTCAAGGAAGTATAGTCCCCTCCCCCCCCTCCCCCCTTCGCCCCCCTAAGAGTCCCTATAGCCTATTCATTCTTAGTTTCTAGGCCGAGGCTAGGCCTTCCTAAACCTTAAACCCTAGACCGGGGCTTTCGGGGTTTTGAGGATTTTCAGGTTTAGGGTTTAGGGGTGGTTTTGAGGATTTTAAGGTTTAGTGCCTCAGTCTTCGGCGCCAGGGTTGCAGGGTTTTAGGTCGGTGCCTTCGCCGTGCATCATTCAAGGGAGACTTCGGGCAATTCTGTTAGGGCCTTCGGGTCCTTTATAGGGTTCAAGGTTTGGGTTTTAGGGTTTGGGGTGTAGGCTTGAGGGTTCCTCAATGCCCTAAACCCTAAACCCGGTCTTCTGCATGTGGGTTGATGGAAGACCCCTCCATTTGTTCCAGCTAGGTGACCAGGGTCATAACCCCAAGGGTTCAAAGGCCCAAAGGACCCACGACTTAGGTACTCGGGTTTAGGATAGCAGTTATGTGTTTTAGCAGATGTTAGCATCTAGAAAAGTATATGGTTCCCCTGAACCCTAAACTCTTACTGGATAGATACTTGGGCCCCTCGGACTCGGATAGTTTCACAGGGCACTCTGTTGGCAGGTCATGACGAGACTTGCAGACCGTGCCACACAGATTGCACTTAGACTTAGGGACAGTGCTCGAAACACGAATCATCTCCAATCCCTGAGCCTTGAAACCCACACCTTGTCAAGGTGCCCAGGCGACGCAGTTCACCATGTACGAATCAGAGTAGTTGATTTCCGCCTGGCGGCAGTGGGTGTTCGGGGGTCGAAACAACTACCCCAAACCCTAAACCCTAGTATTAAGGCCTGATTGTAATTCCGGGGCATAGGGACCCCCAGTACCGAGAGTAACACTCCTAGGGTTTAGGGTTTAAGGTTCAGGGTTTAGGGTCTAGGGTTTAAGGTTTATAGGGTTTAGGGTTTAAGGTTTAGGTAATACTCCTATACCACTAATCATCCTACATGAGTCGACACCCGTGACAAGCAGCTCCCAGGTGAGACCCTCTTGACGGTGTATGTGTTGGTCGTGGCAGCACTCGTCCTTTCTGTCAGCTTGGCCCCCTTTGCGGCATTCTTGTCATGCAGCAGCCTCAGTACCAGGAAGACCCTTGCTGGCGTTGCAATAGCTACGGCCATGGCTGGTCAGACAGCCATCGCGTTTCAGGCATTGCAGGCGATCAGTCAGCTGAACATTCAATGGGTGCAACCTGTCAAAGAATTTCTTCGGGTACTGTCCATGGTGTTCCATGGCTTCCAAACAGGTGTCACGTGCTTTGTCGAGGGGACAACCTTCACAACATGGTCCTTTGCTTTGCAACTATTGGCATTCCCTGCTTTTGTTGTTCTGACCAGCCTGCCAGCAGTCGCGGTGAAAATTGGGAGAGGCATCAACGTATTCATTGGCCTTTTCCACATCTACGGCCTAATCCTTGTGGCTCTCTTGACAGCGATCTCAATTGCTGTAGTCATGCCCCTGAAGTGCATGAAGAACCCCAATCTCACCTACACTCTGGAGGCCCACCCGCAGGTGATATGCTGGAATTCGCAAGAGCACGAGGTGCTTGTAATACTCTCGGTGATGCTATGACCCCAACAGTACCCGTTTACTCTTTTCACGTTTTGAGGGGGGTGGTAGAACAAGAGAACAGAAGAAAGGGGTGCCCTTAGTATGAAAGCCCAAGCCTTAAATCCTGAACCCCCAACCTAACATGGGACTCAAAGGCCCTACACCCCACACCTAGGATAGGACCTTAAACCATAAAGTCCCAAACTTCGGATGGGCCCGTAAAGCATAGAAAAATCCGATAGGACCTTAAACCTAAATATCCCCAAACCCAGGCTAGGACCCTAAATTCTAAACCCCTATACCCTTCTAGGGCCCTGCTAGATCCCTGTAGACGAACCCCTGCCTATAGAACCCCCAACGAGAGACAAGCCCAGGATCGGCGTTTTGGCATACCCTGTGACCATCCTGAGCTTGTTGCTACTTAGATAGTCAACGGGAGAACTTTCAACTTTTTTGTTTAGGGGTTTAGAGGGTTTAGGGTCTAGAGTTTAGGGTTTTCAATATACTCTACCTTAGGCATGTTGATCTTTTTTGGGCCCGGTTATTGCCGAAGAGAAAGGCTATGGGCTACTTACAAGTATCCTCGATGGCTTCGCTCGGATCCTCGGTGGGCTTTTAGGGCTTTAGGCGTTTAGGGCGTTGTCACGGTTTTGGGGTCTTAGGGCGGAAGCTGAGTTCTTCAGGGTTTAGTGGTTTAGGGTGTTGTGGGTTTTAGTTTAGGGTTTTAGAGTTTAGGGTTCCGAGTTTGGGTTTTCAGGAACTATCAAGACGTCAAAGCTTGAATGTTGCTAGTGTTTGCACAACCTAGGACAGAGGAGTTGAAACTTTGCACCGTTATGACTTCTTGTTTGGCCGGTTCCGGCCTGAAAGATATCAATGCTGCCTGATGTTTACGGTCATGAACTTCCTCATCGCTATCATACCGGTATGCTTGCCAACTGCTCCTCAGATTGTCGCCATGTGCATCCTTCTCTGGGCCAAGCAACTGAACTGCCATTCGGTTTAGGGAACCCTAAACCCTAAACCTTCAGCGTGGTTGAGGGGTCAGGTTGCTGCTGGGGTGTCGAAGCCTGTTATAAGCCATGACGAAACTGACTCAGACCCTAAACCCTGCAGCAACAGTGTAGGCAAGTGTTACATTGCTTGTGGTGGCCTTGGAAATTCGAAGCAGCCAACTGGAGTGAACTTGTGTTGTCTGGATGCACTGTGCTTTTCTTCAGCTTGGCAACGCCGTTGCTGGACTTGGAGGAGATACCCAAAAGCCTGAACCCTAAACCGGCAGACCATGGCAGAGAGAGAGAGAGAGGTACAGAGGCAGAAAGAGGTGGAGTAAGTCACGGAGGCATAGACCGCAGCGAAAACTTGATAAGTGGGTTATCTAGCGCAGGACAATGGCACTGATACCCAGCTCTCGGTTCTACTGGTGATAATATTTCTTGGCTTGCCAGTGTGCTTCGTGGGGGCTGCCATTTGTGCGGTCTTATCCAAGCGCAAAGGATCAAACAGGTACACGTTATTCCTGTCTCATCACAAGGCATCCACGTGTACGCTTTGTCGTTACATCAAGGTGGTGGTTGCAAAGCTGGCACCGGCCTTTCATGTGTTTTATGATGCAGACAACCTTCGCGATTTGGATTCGTTGTTTAGCACTGTGAAGAACGACGTGGACTTTTTTTTGGCAGTACTGAGTGCCAACGTGTTCAGCAGCTTCTGGTGCATTGCTGAAATGACTACAGCATTCGCAAACAAAGTGCCGATGCTTGCAGCTTGGTGAAAGCAGGCATGCACTTGCAACTGAAGGAGTACTAGCAGCAACGACAGCTTGTAGTCTCAGGAGGTTGTGAACTTGTTCTGAATCGTAGCTGAGACATGTTCGGATTCTCTTCCAACTATGCAGGGTTTCTGTGTTAAGTCATCGGTCCAGGGTTATCCCAAGATGCAAGAGCCTTACCACCTGAAGCTTAGCTATGCAGCAGCGTTTCGCTTACAGTGTGTCAGACCCCCCCCCCCCCCCCCCCCNNTGTTGTGACGACCTTCCGTATGTTGGAGACAAGTTTATGGATCTTGGGTTACGCAATTCAGCAGTTCAGCACTTCCTCTGCATAATGTCGGAATGGCCTTAGGTTGTTTCTGACTACGAGTTTTTTGAACATATTCCTTAGACAGTCTTTGCACTGTAGGGTGGGGTTACGAATGCGGAGCCTAAGCCTTGAACCTTAAAACCCAAAACCTAAACTGGACCAAAACTAAACCTGAAACAACCCCTATCAACTCCCGCAACTAAGCCCCTTCGCCGATGAAGGATCTGTCTACATAAAACCATATATAAACCCTATAAGCCCTGCAGAAACCCCTCAACCGATTAAGGATCTGTCTACAAGCAGCTGGGCCGAAGAGCAGCAGCTTGGCAGGTTTAGGGTGCAGGATGCTGTCAGGAATCGCCTTGAAGGCCGTGGGGTCCAAAGACTATGCTAGTACGTACCTATGGGTGTGTGTGTATATATATATA